CGGCGGGGCTCGACGGGGCGCCGCCAGAGATTTACAAGGGATTGCCGTTTTACCTCGTTTACAAAGCGTGGATATTGTTTCGGTGACGATACTTGGATAACGATTCTGAGGACCCTCCCAGTTGGAAGCAAATCCAGTACACCAGCATTCCAAAAATAGCTAAGCCGGTGGTTTTCGACGAGTTTCGATACATATGTACGTTGGATTGTTCTGGAAAGTGGTATACCCGTAGCATACAACCGCTCTTTCGGCAGTCTGTACCGCCCAGCTCTGTGGCGACATTTGGTTTCAAAGCTGGTTTCGCATGTGATGATATCATTGCGATCGCGACCCAAACCATCACTGTGGCCAGGCATTTGGGCATGCCGCTGGTTGTTGGGACATTGGATATCAAAACAGCTTTTGAGACGATGCGCCATGGACACGTATCACGAATCTTGCTTAATAAAGGTCTTCACCCGAACCTCGTTCGGGCGATGCTGCGGGAAATGTCAATTTTGTTCTGCTCCATGGTTCTGCCAGGGATGCTGGCCAGCGACTCATTTCCCTTGGAGGTCGGCGGGAAGCAGGGCGGCGTGGAGACGCTGGAACTATTCAACTGCATGGTCGAGTTCGTGCTGGAACCCCTCGTCCCCAGCTGGCGCAGCCGTAACTTCGGAATACTTTTCGATGCGAGGTGTCCGCCGCTGACACATCTCATTTGGGCAGACAATTTCATACTTTTTGCGAGCAGCGTGCAACAATTCCAAACCATGGCGCAGGAACTGACGACGGCCCTCGCTGAAATCGAATTCCGCTGGAAGCCAGCATCTATGGAGTGCATGGTCTGTGGGAGTCTTATAGACGAGCTCGTGCAGACGCCACTCATCACGGAGCCTGGGGCTGAAACGCCGCTCACGTTCTCACTGGTTTCTCACTTGGTCCTACTCGGGGGTTTCATTACCGCCAGAGCAGAAACAATGGACGCACTGGAGCATCGTTTACTCCGGGCAGAGGCACATTATTGGGCACATATCAAAGCATTTCGTGGTGGGGGCACGGTGAAAAGTAAATTGCGCGCCTGGTCAGTCGGACCATCTGCTTGTGCCCTCCTGGGTTCTTCCGCGTGGCACGTCAACAAGCAGGTGCTCTCCAAACTCAAGACTTGGGAATGGCAGTGCCTTCGGAAAGTGCTCCGGCTCCGCCGCAAACCAGATGAAAGCGCAATGACCGCCAATGTTCGCACGTCGGTTTTGATACGAAAATGGATGCAGATGCGCAGCATATGCCCCATATGTGTACGCGTGCTCAAGTTTGTATAAAAAAAACGCATGGCGTGAGATTTCGCTTCCATGCAGTGCCGGAGCTGAGCTTTTGAGGAAGAGCCGGACTTTCCGCGCGCGGGATTGGTGGGAGCAGTATAAACATGCCAAAGGATACAAGAAACGGTTGCGATTGAGTATGGTCCACGCCGCCGGAGGCAATTTCTCTCACTGGGAAGATGTATTTTGTGATTATTTCGGCGTCGATTGGAGGAGTGTCCGCGACGGTTGTCATTCCCTACAAGAGTGGATGCGGCATTTCGGGGAGTTCAGCGCGTGGATCTGCCGCCAATGGGGACTCCCAGTCGAGGGGTGCGTTCGGGCGACAACGGAGGCGGTCGTGCAGGACTACCCTCCGCCCAAACGACTCCGGGTGAATATATATATATATATATATATATATATATATGCACTGGAGGACCTGCCAGCAACACATGCAGCCATCAACTTCCACGATGAGCCATCAACTTCCGCGACGGCGCAGGTCGTTTCATCATCATCTGTGATTGTCAACCCTTAGTTGAGGTCATCACGGGGAACATCCTCCCGGACGGCTCCGACCACTGCCGCATCTTCAGCCGTATTTGCGCCCGCTTGGCAACGCTATTCGACAAAGGCGTCCTGCTCCACCAGTGCCATGCGGATCCTGTCGTGTGGAGGCGCCGCGAGCTCAATGTGAAAGCAGACCACCTAGCAAATTTCACCATGGACGAAAAACGTTTTTGGCAGACATCTTTTCCATTAGCTGCCGGCCGTCAGGTTCGAGACGCGAATCTTGTCGTCCATTGCGACGGCGGTCGCCGGGGCGACGCGTGCTCCGCAGCAGCTTGGATCCTCGAGGCTGTCTGGGGGGACGGACGGTTCGCAAATTGTCTCTATGGCTGGTGTGTTTTTGGACGAAGTCGACGTTGTATCTTCCTTCGTCGCTGAGGCCATGGCTCTCGACCAGGGCTCAAAAATTCTTACAGATTTGCACGCCACTACGACCCAATATGAAAGTTTGCATGCTCTTTGGCCCTCACTTGTCACATCTGGCTGGCCGCGCGCGGCCTTCAGCTGCGCCGACAGAAAAAGAAAAACATGATGATGATGCTGCTAATGATGATGGTGCTGATGCTGATGATGTTGGTGATGAGGATGAGGATGATTATGATGATGAGGATGATGATGATTATGATAATGATGGCTATGATAATGATGACAGTGATGATCATGATGACGATAATGATGTTGATGATGCTGATGATGATGCTGGTGCTGCTGCTACTACTGATGATGATGATGACGATGACGACGACGATGATGATGATGATGCTGATGATGATGATGATGAGAGGATGATGATGATGATGATGATGATGATGATGATGATTATGGTGATGATGATGACGCTGATGACGATGATGATGATGACGATGATGATGGGGATGATGATGATGAGGATGATGATAATGATAACGAGAACGAGCTATCCGATGTAGTTCAATAAACTCAGGTGCACCTCTGGATCTGCTCAGCTTTGTTGAGCAACTTCGGCCACTTCTGCAGAAGAAGGCGACTCAGGTTTTCTCGCCGATGGAGGGCTGTGTGAATCGTGCATGACTTCGTAGAAGCCACAACGCTCACATAGACAAACATTATACTTACGCTGCAACCTCATCGTGTGACTCCTGCGCCCACCCCCGTCGAGGCGAAACCGCCCCCCCCTGCGCTGTGGCTGAGGTGGCCATCCAGTTCAGGGGGGGGGCAGGGGCCCCCCTCGTCGCCACGATTGGGCGCGACTCGCAAAACGTGTTGTCAGCTTCGACCCCAGGAGGGATCGGGGGACCGATCCTGAGCGGATTGGCCCCCGTCCCGCCCGCAGGAATGACCTTCTCGGGGCCTGTCCAGCGCAGCTCCCCCGGCCGCCTCCGAGACGGGGCCGTGCCCGCCTTGCCGCCCCCCCCGCCGCGCCCAGGCACGGGCGCGCACGCCGCGCCTTCGACGGCGCGCGCGCGCCGCGGCACGGCCGGAAACCCTGCGCCTCCCCGTCCGCCCTGCTCGCGGGGCTGCCGTCGCCGGAGCCCTCCGGACGCGGGGCACCACCGAGGGGGCCAGGGCCGAGCGGGGCGGCGGCGGCGGCACCGGGCAGCGCGGGCAGCGCGGGGGGCCGGGAGCCCCCAACGCCGCAGCCCTCGGCGCCGCAGCCCTCGGCGCCGCAGGCCCCGGCGCCGCGGCCGGCGCCCGCGGCAGCGGGGAGCGATGCGAGGCGGAGGGCGAGAGGGGGGTGCCGAGGAGGGAGGCCTGTGGCTCTTGTCCCGGGGCAGTGGCGGCGTGCGGTTCTTGGCTCCGTGGGCGATGGTGACCTGGGGGCGGTGCTGGCCTGTCCTCGAAGCACTCACCGCCTTTGGGCCGCAGCGAGAGTGCGGGGAGGTAAGTTGAGAAACGTGGCGTCCTTAACAAGAGTACCGGTCCTCGAAGCAGGGAGAGTAATCGCGGGGTACCTGAAGCAGGGCCCGGGGCCTCCTCGCTCGGATTCCCTTGCAGTATCTGCGGCGCGCAGAGCTTCTCGGAAATAGTCGACCGCTTCCGCCCTCGGGCGGTGACGCTCCGAAAAAACGTGCAGCACGGGCGTGCAAGGCTGGGGGCCCTGGGGGCCAGTCCAGATGCGCATTCCTCCCTGGCGCAGGACAGCAGGGAGCTCCAGCCGCGGTTCTCTGGGGCGTGACGTGGCCGGCCACGCAGCGAGAGGAGCGGCGAGAAGAGTTCCTCGGCGTCTGCGGGTCTCTCGGTCGTGGGGCCCTGCCGTCAGACCAGCTGCACCTCGGGGTCGGCGGCGAGCGATGGGGGGAAGGGAGAAGGAGAAGGGTCTCTCAGAAGGCGGCGGGACTTCTCAGAAACCCTCGCGCCTTCCGAGGAGGTTTTTCCTGCCTTCGGGGGAAGGCTTGGAACACTTCTCAGAAGGCCAGGGGGACTTCCGAAGCTTCCTGAGAAGGCCTTCTCCTTCTTTACCAGTTTGAAGCATATCCCTACCCATGTGATTGGCATCACCTCACCTTGATGCCGATCTCAAGGATTCCCTCAGTTTCTGAGGGCACATCCCCAAGATTGTCCTCGCTTTTTGCTCGCCCATCTTACAGTCGGGTCGCTGATGAAGGAACCCTTCTCGTTGGGGAGGGGCTCCGTGTTCTTTCATTGTTTCACAGCTTGCCTCAGGTTTTCCTGATGTTTTCGACGGGAAATCGAAGGGTAATTGATGGAAAAGAGGGGCCTCGTTCCTTATTCAGGGTTCCTTAGGTCAAGCCCCCGTCTGTGGGTTGTGGTGGTCACTGCATTTGGGAAACAAGTCCCGATCAGAGCAACACGCACCACGACCACGACGACGCCGACGATAACGACGACGACGACGGAGACGAGGCGCGTAGACGAACCGCACCGAAGCACGGATTTGGGAAAGGGCCCACCCTGCAGGTTCGGTTAAACAGCACATCATTGAGCGGTGCTGCAGCCTCCCCTGAGCACAGACCCCCCCAGAGCATCAGCCAGACAAGTCGGGCTTGCACCCTCCTGCCTTGCTGGATTCTGGGCGCGTTTCGGCACCCGACTGCAGGGATAGGGGTAGGTTCGAGGCCGGTTGCTTCTCGCTTCCCCCGCCCCCCCCCCCTCGCTCGCCGCCGGGGCGGGGGGTCCTGGCCTCCCCTCGGGGGCCCCAGCGGCCTCGGCGCCCCTCTCTCGAGGGGTCGTCGTGCGCGACGGGCGCCGCCCCCGGGGGAAAGGTCGAGGAGCACAGCCCGGCCCCCGGCTCGTGCGCGGTCGGTGCCGTGCTTTGCCCCTTCGCCCGTCCCTGCTCTCCCCTGCGCCGAGTCGGGCGTGTCCCTCTACAGGAGGAGCATCCAAGAATAGGCAGAAAAACAGCCAGGGGACGATTTTTTCCGATGGGATATTTTTGGGATATGTTTAGACTTTCGCCCACAATCCGCCTGCAGGAGGACATGCCCGACCTAATAGCCTTGCGTCTCTCCCTCTCTCTCTCTCTCTTTATCTCCTCCTCTGGCGTCCCCCTCCCCCCCCCTTATCACCTTTCGACGTTGGGCAAACTTCAAGTGCTAGGCCTGCAGCGTTCTTCCCTTGGCTGCTCCTGCTCCTCCCCTCTTCCCTGCTCCCCGCCCTGGAGCCTCGTGGAGCCTCTTTGGCCCAAGCTCTCTCGCCATGGAGGCCCCCGCGCGTCTCAGGGTGGAGCTGCGATTCATCGCCGGCTGACGACCAGGCCGCCGTGCGCGTGCAGCTGAGGTGATGATCCAGTCGTGGTTTCCGCGGGGTGTGGAGGTTGTGTGGTCCAAGTGCGGGGACAGAGAGTTTGAGGTTGTCGCCGGCGGTGAGGTGCTGTGCGCGGGCTTCTTGGACAAGGCCGACGCGGGCACCCAGCAGGCGGTAAAGGAGCGGATTCGGGTTCAGCTGCCGTCTGGCCGCCTGCTTGCATCTACTGGGAGTATGGGGCCAGTTCGCTGAAGGATCAGGAGTGGCAGTGCTGGAGAGACGGGGCGCCCAGATGGCTGGCATCGAATGACGCGGAAGCCTCGTGCCTCATCTGAAGCATGCATCCGCAGATACAGGTTGCCAAGCTGCAGAGGGAAGTCCCGTGTCACTGTTCTTTGAACTCGCAGTCTTGAGCTTTAGTTAGACC